AAAGTACGCATAATTCATGTGAACCGAAGGAGTACAAAAGCCTTCATTTTAAGGTGAAAGAGCCGGTAAAAGGCACATTGTTACCTACATCCGAACAATTTCAACAAATCATAAACAACAAAAGAATAGCGAGACAGGATTTCCCAGCAAAATCACATCCATGGAACTACCATTCAGATGACTCAAGGTGAAGACGAAACATAAAGGCCATTACCCATGTCCTTCCTCGAAAGAACGCAACCATAGACTCCGACATGATGAAGAAGTGGGCACGATGAGGACATTTGCAACATTTTTAATCCGACACTACCAAGCCATAGAAAAAGCGCAAGTGTACGCGGCTAAAACATAAACAACGGTTTCTATTGGATGGCAAAGAATCACAAGGGGATGTCTGTTTACTATAATTAAACGCTAAGACCGATTTGTGTTCCAGTTGACTTCAAGGTACGCGATGAAAATAACCACAACTCAAAGAGTGCTTTAAAAGGAGAAAAACTACACATGTATTGAAAAAGGACCCAGACTTGCAATTAAAGCACCTTAAGAGACGCTTGCGCGAAGGTAAACAAAGAACTCCTAAGGCGCAGTAGGAGGTAATAGTCTAATAAAAATAAGGAACGCCTCACTCTCCAACGCTGGAGCCCAGACGGTGGAGGACTGTGTGGATATTGAAACATAGAAGGATATGAGAAACTCCGACAGCGATAATTAACAATTAGCTGGTTTTAGCATAGATGCAGCCATAAGAAGACTACCGAAAAGCATGCACACGTGGGCAAAATACCCTCATATTTGGCGTTGGAAAAGCAAACCGACAACCAAGCAATGGAAGTTTACCATCCATATAGTAGTAGCTTGAGCCAGAAGCGTCTTGACCAGCTTTAATGAGAAGACTTTCGTCGTCTGTAGAAGCTAGAACACCGACGTCCTTCTCGGTGTTGCTCTTGGGCCCATTGAGGACAGCGTTGAAACTGAGGTCCGGCCGCTCGTCATAAACACACTCAATAAGGTGCTCAAGAAGGAGAGCACGAGCGGGAGGATCGAGCTCGGAGACCGATCGACCGGCGCGAGCTGCCTGCAAAGCTTGGCGATGGGTTGTACGCTTCTCGCCCACAAAAGCATCCAGGGCACCGTCAACACTAGCGATACACACCGTCGGGTCACGGTGACGTAGAAAGCGCAGAATTCTAGCCACACAGTCACACAGCGGCACTGTCTCCGACCCCTTCAGTATGTGTTGATACAAGTCCTGTGTAAAGTGCAAACACGTATCAAGAGACCGAACCCCAAACTAAGCACCTCGAGAGTAGAATCGATGTAGGTTTTAGGAACCTTTATCTATCTCTAAAATGTCAAAAGGGAGTTCTTGCGCAAATGCTCACAAAAGCTAGTCATGCGCCGAAATATTCAAGAATAGAAGGCATGCAAAAATAGGAGGGAACACATCGGTCACAATTTATGAGATTAATAATGGTTACAGTGAATTTTTGATATTCCTCATAACTTTTAAGGCAAAACCGAAGACGGAGGGGCAACCACTGGGAAAAAGAACCGCCTCAAACTGATTGTCAATTGGGCTATTGATGGATAGACTACCTTGCAGTTTAAAGGACACCAGACAGTATTAAATAAGCGGTCAGTTATGAAGGATTCAAGAAGGTTGCATCTCAAACGTGGCAACGATTAATCGTATGCTTCCGCACCGTGGGCCATACCCATACAAATATGCAAAACTACGAAAAAGAAGACATGAGAGATACCAACTTATTTAGAGGAAATTTAGAGGAAGGTGAACGCGAGTAACAAGTTAACTCAACAATTAACAGTGTGAACACGTATACCCAACAATCAAACTATCAAGCCTTCCGTTCTAAGACTTCGTACTTCTAACGTTCAATCGTGACAAACAGCACTATGGTGCTCTATTGGGACTCATAAGCATATTCTTATCCGTAAGACACATAATGACTAATGTCATGTTTCATTACAGACATGAGAAAATTGCAAGAGCTCAAAAAGTTCAATGAACAACAGTAGCCATAGTAAAAAGGCTTGAAGGGTAGGGATTAATGGACTCCAAAAGGACGTGAAAACAGCGACAAAGATCGCGTTTAACCAGGAAATAAATTGATGCGACTAAACTAAGGGGGAGATTTAGAAAGACAGTGGGAACAGAATGTGGGACAAAAACAGAGACCCAACTGGCAAAAGAATGCCGCAACCGATACATCGCAAGTAATGTCAAATTAAAACGGCACTCCTACAGTACAAATGCAGGTCCAAAGTGAGCGACGTTACTAGCATTTAATGCACTGACTGGAGTTTGTTAGGATCGCCTAAGTATAATAGCATAAAAGTCAATAAGCTATACTTGCCTGTAAACGCAAGCGAGGAAACCGGAATCTTTGCTTGTGCTGGACGAAGAACTGCATCAGAAAGGCCAACTTAAACTTCTTGATGTCCTCAACACTGACAATTGGGTCGTCCAATTGTAGCGCTTGGATCATTTTCTCACAAAATTTTATCGGATAAAGGATTTAGACGTTTCGCAAGTTGATAAAACATCCGACCTAATACAAATCTAGGAAATAAAATCACATAAAATTACAGACACCAAATCCAGAGGGAGATAAAAAAGCACCAGCAATAAAAAGTAACATGTGTGTGTTATAACTACTTGAATGGACAATGGTTCAAAAACGGAGGTGCAAAGCATACTAGACTTCTAAAGACATGATGGTAGAGAAGGACCAGAATTATCTGGCGCAAGGTATTATAAATGCCACACCGATCAAGTACCCGACAATAACACCAGAAGGATATTAATGGTCTTTTTTGAGTGATGGTGCGAACAAACAAATGAGTATTGTGTTAGGAGTACGCTCGCATTTAGCAATGTAAGTTGTTCAAAAATCGAATCGCACAGCTGTAAAAGCAAAAAATTTTCTTATTCTTCTCCTATTTGGCTAAACGAATATTTGCCTAATGGTCATTAGCCGAATTAAAAATGAAAATCTGTCATAAAATAATGATGGTATAGTTTATATTATGCAGTAGTGCATGTACATGTATGTGAATCAAATTAAAGAAACCTAATGCACTATGTGCTGAATAGTGACATGCATTTCGGGTGTTGGAACCCACAATTTTCCGTCAGGAATAAATGGGTAAGATGGGTTTAATGCATGTAGTCCGAGAGGAGAGAGAGGAAATGGACTTTGACTTGACCCAAAGTCCCCCTTAGCAGTGCAAAAACGACACAACTATTAGAGTAGCCACCATTTAAACAAGTTAGTATATTACAAGGGCAGCACATGACAAAGTTGTACTTAGATCTGAGGCAACAACATAAGACTGTAGCGTCCTGAGGCTTTCCATAGGGCGAAAAAGGCATAAGTGACGTTAAATACATGTATTCCGAAGAAGACAGGGCAAATGGATCCTGAACGTGGCCCGAAGGCCAACCCATGTGTACAAGAGCCAGACAAATCCTAAAGTGACCACCAAACGTCAGGTAGTCACATAACCAAAGTATTACACTGCCCCTCTCTTCTTGTGAGCGACGTCCTTGGCGCTCCCCTAATAATACACCTCCCGCGCCAGCCATCAAAACATATTCGGCACCAATCGACAGAAAGCATGAGACTGAGGAACTGTACCTGGTCTCCTCGGCATCTTCAACAACGTCTGGAATTACGTTCAGTCTGGCGACCAGATTCGGGGTCGCATACATCTGTTGACCATCAATTGCTTCCAGAAATAGATGGTGTAATTCTGGCCTAAAACAGATGCGTTACAGTGAAAACGGGATGAGCCACTGTCCCGTATGTAAGGGGAAGCGTGGTGTCATTTCCGACAGCTATACACGGATTTTGTATAAAAAAATCCGACACGAAACTTTTTTAGATAGTTCACGGCACTGCTGTTTCAGTTGTTAATAGGTTGTTTGTGGAAAACGGGAATAAGGTGAAACCAAATGCAGACATCCGTCTAAATCCTTTCGTTGTGAGGGTTTCGGAGATTCTCCGTCACCAAGGTCAATGCGCCTCCTTTAATTCACGTCATTTTTTCGCCGGTATCTTCATCTATTGCACTTATGTAGTCTGACTTTTTATGCATGTATAGCTCTTGATTGCCAGTGCACAACACCAAAATGCTCTAATTAATCTTGGATTTCTGCAGTAAAAAGTAGAATTCCCTTGCACTCTTGTCTGCTGGTTGGATTATAAACTTCTTGTTGTAAAAAAGAGGTTTAAATTTCCGGCCAAGGGAACCCGATTTTGGGGTATCTACATGTATCGAACCGGTGCATCATCCAGTCGGACCATTGCCTGTCAGCTTGTTCGTACTGCTCTTTTCCGGAAATCAGTCAATTAATTGGCATAGTCTAGCAACGCAAACGTAGGATGTCAGTAAGACAGCGACGCCTGTTGAGCAAACGACCAACGAAGAACAAGCGGCAGAGAGAGTTCCCACCTCGACTAAAATCGTTAAAAGATGGTGGGTTCGCTTTTCGTTGCCACTAGTGTAGCGTCTCGAGGCTTCCCATAGGGTGGAAGAAGGCACAAGTGAGGTTGAATACATGTATTCCGAAGACGACAGGACAAATGGAGCCAGAGCGTGGCCCGAAGGCCAGTCCACGTATACAAAGGTCGGACAACTTTAAAAATGATCGCCAAACGCCAGATATTCACAAAAAACAAAGCATTACAGAGACTTATTACATGGCGAAAATCTGATTATAATAATTTGTTTATGCGACCCTATGAAGTTTGGCGATCACTTTAGAAATTGTCTGACCCTTGTACACGAGGGCTGGCCTTCGGGCGATGTCCAGGTTCATTTGTCATGCCGTATTCAGAGAACATGTTTCTAGCTGCACTTAATGAGTTCTTACACCGGCTAGGGAGTCTCGGGACGCTGCACGGACGACTAGGCTATAAAACAACGACCTAAAGTATAAATAAATTATAAATGATGTATTTTTCAACTATGAATAACAACATTATAGAGTAAAGAATATAAGTTTGGCGTCTTTCATAGGTAACGGAATATCCATTGCATTGTTTACTTAAACTAAAATTCAACCTTGACATTCTAAACAAATAAGTAAACACTTATAAATCTGTTGCACTATTGATTCGTTGAGTTTCTTGACGCCTATACGAGCTGGATTTGTCATCTTTTGCGTCTTCTGTGAAGAAGCTACGATTTTCCAATCAACTCATATTCTGATCATGATAACTTCACAAATCTAGGAATTATAATTTATCTTGTCAGTCTAATACATCTTACACGCAACTACGTGCTCGTATAGTCTACATCCCTGTGCCAATCAATATGACCATGTATATCTGTGAATTCTCACGGGGATCATCTTTACTTTTTGGATTTATTCCAGTTGAACTTTATTTGATTCTCGTCAAAAACGATAACATTGTTGAAAAGAAGTCAGCTCTTCTGCGAATAAGTGCACTGCTAAAGTCATTTTTGAAACTTGTGCCTGATGACATAAATTTTTCTTCAGATCCAAGAGATGGTGTCATGTTAGAAATTACAGCACATATGTCGTCATTTTTAACATTTCTGCGAAAACTACTTGATTTTCAGGATTGCCAACTGGCAGACGAATGCTATTCTATAATACTGGTAAGTCGCTTTTGCGTAAGGGATTGTGCGTCGGTTTTGACACTAAATCAATGTAAGCATTTAAAAATGCGCATGCTGATAAAATTTGCTTTTGTACACATAACAGCTATTGTACAGGGCCCCACATTTTAAAAGCAGGTTAGTGGTGAAAATTTTAATAAGTTGGAACTTGTTTTCCTTAATAAGCTCATAATTAAAGACGTCCCAACACATATACTTGCCAGCATTAAGGACTTTTTGCTGGCTGCAGCTTTCCATCGCCTGGACCTGGCAAGTAGGAACATCAGAAAATTCATTACCACAATATCTTTGATGCTTTGCAAACGGCTCGAAACTCAGTGCATATTTGAGTTTATTCTGCTTTACTTGCGTTGTGACAATTCCACCATAAGAAGAAACGCAGTTGATATTCTTACAGTGCTTATTTTAACAAACATGAGCTCGCCCCGAGAAACCGATATGATATGCGACGAATTAGTTGGATCCCTATGTAGCAGTGAACCAGAGGTAAGCGACCTCCCATTAACTCATTTAAAGTTCCATGACACTTGAAAATATTTTAGGTACTAAAGGCTACATTTGAATGTTTCGCAGCAATATTTTCCGTAAAATGTGTCTCAGAGAATCTGTTCATCGACCAACTCTCTGAAAGCATGCCTCCTTCACTTGATGAGGGAACGAAAGAAAAGATGTTGCGTACCGTGCAGATGCGTGTAAAAATGCGTCTCCCACCAAAGATAGGAGCTGATGGATTACTTATTTACCAATCCGGTATTCCAGATTTCCTAAATTTAGGTATCGTAACTACATATTTTGCCTCAGTCTTCTTTAACTTCTGACGATAGTTTTTGGCTCTTTACAAAAGGGCGAGTCTTGTATACTTGTAGTCAACGAAAAGTGTCATCTTAAATCCTGCAATGCGTATGATTTTAGATGGTTCGAAAACTTTTTACCCTGTTGGTCGAAATAAGAGCGAAAACGATAAAGTAAGTTCAGGTTTTATGCAATGATATATTTCTGGCTGAGGAGGTAGCATTGGAGCGATAAATTAGTTGGTTAATCAAAGATCCTGGAACTTGACATATTCTCCTATGCAATTTTATTAATTTTTTGTAATATTATTGGTGTCCCAAAAGCAAAAGAAAGGGGAGAATGCGTAAGTAGATGAGCTGAGCCAATGACCTGTATGCACATTGGTTTTAAGGATGCTACTGTCTAGCCAAATTCAAATAATCTTTTAATTTATTTCACTGTGCCATCAACGTAGAAGTACCTAAACTTAGAGAGGCAACACTGTCGCTATTTATGCTTCATCAAAAACCTTGCAACAATTTCAACTGTAGAAGATATAGAGAGTTTGTTAAGTCAGACGCAGTAAAATTCGCAAAACTTTTGAAATAAGACCACAATAGATAAATGTTTAATTTGTGCAGAGACCAAAATAGTTGCGTAAGATTTGAACTGGAATGCTTCAATGGTGTGACAATTTGTACAGGAGATCATTAAGCCACCTCAACGTGCATCATCCTGGCGAAATGCTGTCCGGCGCAACCGTCAAGCCAATCTTGGCTACACCGATCATTTCCATGGTAAGAAATCTTCCTTAATTGTGGTCAGAATCATTAAATTAATTTTTTTCACCACTGACTGGATATCTTTCTCGAAAACTTTTTGCGAGATAGTAGCAACCAAAACCATTGGTGCCGCTAAAAGACTGCTTTAGGTTACTACGGTGCTTTTAGCAAATGGCACTAGTTCCTGTCATGCACAATCATTAGACACTTATGGTTGATAAAACGTATGCACAATGGCAGCACATGTTCTAAGTTTTTTACACATCCCTTTGCCGTAATAAATCTTGGTACATGATTATAAAGTTATGTTGCATTGACCGCGTCTTCAGCTCTGCAGGAGCTCGGAAAGGCTAAACGGTCTCAGCCCCTCTTCAGAACCGCAGCACCGAATTCTGCTGGCGGGAAAAAACTTCAACTAACTTTGGTATCCGGGGACAACTCTCACACCAGTGATCCTGTCGGAGATGCTAAGTCGAACAGCTACACGCGCATATCTGAGAGAAGGCAGTTGAGGTATAATGAGGCTCAGTCGAGAGGACGATCACTGTTTGTTGAGAGCTCAGGAGACAGGTTGTTTTCAGAAAGAAGGGTACGTGAGCCTATTAAGAGCATCCGCGAATTCACTTTGAAGATGTCGTAATTGACCATGCATCTGCATATAATCATCAAAATGCAAAACATAAGCAGTAGTATTTTATCAGCATCAGTTCAATTGATGCAACTTCCTTTACCTGATTACTCGTACGTAAAGATGAATTTACTATATTTAGTTAAATGGATTGAGACGCTGCTATTCAGCCCTATCGTTTGAAGAGAAGGACTGTGAAAGTCGTCCAAGCTTCTCACAGGTAACATTATTGTTAATCACGAAAAAAACTTGTAGATTGCAGACTCAATAATGAGCATTAAGTTTTCCGCTTCCAAGCGGTTAGACTCTTTGAGAAGCCGAATTTCACAGTTGAGAAGCGTTGAATGTTCATCCAGTGCAAGGTAATTTTAAAATTGCACCTTATCACCTCTACAGGCGAGCACTGAAAGTGATGGATTCTCTTGAGAAAACAAGATCATGGGCACAACAAACACAGGGATTATTTTCGCAAAAAAATCTTTCTCAAAATTCTGCAAATAATCCTACCGCAGTTACGTCAAAGGAAAGCCGAGAGGCTCTTACTCGCATGAGCAGCGGCTATGCATCGGAAGATGTCAATCAAGTTACCAGTTTAAATAATCAATTCGAAGTTCTCTCGAGTACGTTTTTAGGTCCGAATACGTTTGAAAACATAATTATGCATCATTACATAAGAAACTTTGTTTTCTAAGCAGAAAGTAATCAGAACGAAAAATCGGAAAAGTCGTTTTCTCGAAAGTCCACATTTTCGATGTCAGTCAATGCAATTGAGAATCAACTTCCACCACGTTTGCGTCATTCTCTGTAGGTTTATTTAGCCTTGTCAATGCAACACAATATTGGTAAATAAAATCCACCAAATTTAGCTTAAATCGTGCTTAAATTTGGTCCAATTTTCGATCATATCACACTCCTCTTACAGTCTTACAAAATACCATTTTCATTTGTCCGCTTGATCATGAATGAAGAGAAGCAAATTCGTCCCATTTGTCAAAAAAAAACAAGTTGTGCTGGAGTTCCTTCATTTGGCCTCTTGCACACAAGTCGTATGGGGCTAGAGTGCGGAAGGAATGAACAGACCTTGCTTTGTGCCACGTACATCTACATACGCACATGCATGCCCATGCACATGATTGTAGTCGTACGCATGAGTTCGTTTTCCATGGACGTAAAAATAACAGGTCATTGTAGACCATAGCAACAAATACAGAAATCTCCAAGCCAAAGTAAAAAAAAAGGGTAATTCATCTTTCAATATGTCTGGTAAACATGTTATTAGGATTTAGGCTTTAATATGCGTTTTTCATTGCCCAATACCATACGAGGTAGCATAACTTTACCAAGCAAGAAGCCCCCCAAAATACTTCGACATGGTCATTGATGCAAATGAAGTTTGTTGAATCTTAATGACCTCATATACGTCTTTGCCGCAGACAAGCGCGACTTAAGCGTTCTCGAACAGTGCATTGGACAGGTCAGGTTTCGTGCGTACCCGGTGTCGAGATCAGGGGTGCTCTGGAGGCGCTAACCTCAAGGGAATGGGAGAACCAGCACGATGCTTTGCATTTCTTGAACTTTTTCTTCAGAGCCAACTTACATGCAAAGCGTCACAATCTTGGCAGCTGGTCATTGGAACAAATCCAACGTCTCTGCAGCGGTCTTGTCTTCGCTGCATCCAATCTGCGGTCACAGGTTGGCATGCAATTATATGTGTCAAATGTGTTATTTGTGTTACTTTTTAAGCACCCTAAGTAAAATCGAACTGGTGGAAAATCTCTTTATAGCTTTGTTCCTTTTTAACCAAACACTAATGAAGTAAAACGTATTCATTTATGCGATAAATCGCACAATCAGCGATCCGATTCTCACATACTTGAATTCCAACTCATGTTTTCCTCAAACAATTTCCAAATTAGGCCGCCCAGAAAATATTTCTTTTGATACAGGTATAAAGTAATCGGATGAGGTGCAAAATGAAATATTAAGTCACTACTCACTCTTACATGTGTCATATAAAGGTGTCCAGGATGGCCATAGGAGCCATAAAGTCGACAGTGAAGTTACTGACAATGGAGCAGCTGGAATTAGTGACGCGATGTCTTTTCTTCGGTCTGGTGAGTCGAGTGAGTGGTGATGCCAGCACCACATTCCTGCGCAATGAAGCGTGCGAGGCGATCGATGTGCTGGTTGAGCGGGCGCCTGCACTTTTACTTCTCTCCTGTCTTAACGATGCCTGCCACAGCACCCCATCACGCAGTCTCCTAGGTCGGCGGTGTCTCGCACGCTGCTACGCCGCCGTTCTACATCGAATCCTGAGTCCCAGCAATTGTCCATCTAAAGTCGTCCAGCACTCCCTCCTGACACGCAAACATCAGGACATATTCAATCGGATGCTTCCCCATCTAGCCTCTTTCCTTCGTAATGGCGACTCCGAAACCAGGTTCTCAGTACTTTTTAATCTCTAATTTTATCAATATGGATGCATTCAATCTTTACATATTGAAAATTGAACACAATTTACATTTCAATTTTGACCAACTTCGTACAATTGGGATTCGGTACTACTAGCACCCTCATCATTCAGACTAGGGCTGTCGGCGTCCTAAAAGTCCAGCAGCGAACTCTATGTAGTTCCTCATTTTCCCAATTTCCTCTTGATTTGATACAAATTGGTTGAATTACCAAAAATTCCCTTGGCATATTATACTTTTTATTTAATACGATACTTTTATTGAATCAAATCTTCATCCATATTTTTTTAGGAGAACTGGGGAAAAAGTTCTTCGAGTTTTGATAACAATTCATGACCTTGAAGCACACCTCAAATCTGTATTGGATGACCGCGATCGTGGAACGTTCGCAGAAGCGATAGGAAAGTTATTGAAACGCAAGGTATCGTGCAAGTAGGAACCTTATAAGTAAATGAACGCATTTTTAGCGCACATAAGAGCAATCTTTTATTAAGGGCATTTCCTCTATGACTCGTTCATTCTCGACTCTGGGAACACCACGCAGACCTACCCCTAGTTGCGTTGCACATGGACGTTCTGGACGTCGACCGTTCGCCAAACGCGCTTCGACACCTCCACTTTCCTCCACTCATGTGCATATGCACCTAAATGAGCTTGCACAACGCAAATGCTCCAATGATAGTGGCCAAACCGCAATGTTGCGGTTAGGCGGGCAGGAGCGCTTCTTCAGTCTTCTCAAACTCGGAGCGCAAATTAACGACCCTGCCATCTCAATCAGACTCTCAACCTCAGAGGTCAAAGTGTCACTTACTCTACCACATACTATCCAATTTTAAAATGCAATTCCTTGTAAGATAAGCTGGCCTTTTGACTAGTAAGTAACCCTTTTTAATTGTTTTATGTAAATTCCCCATGCCGTTGTGCAAGGACTAGGTTCACATTTTGGCTATCTTTTCAGATAGTGTCGTTCCATTCCTTCCGTTTCGGAAAGATTTTGTGGATCAACGCTCCTTCTAGCAGCTGAAATGTGCGCGAATTAAGGTGCTCCTGCACCACACATACTGCTAGTTTGCATGGTATTGGTGATGATTTCTGACATGGTTCTTCTAGAGTGAATTTGAGCAAAAAACTAGAAACATTTTTACAACCTTAAGTCTGCTCCATTTAAGAGAGCGCTAAGGCGCTTTTTTTTTCAAGCATCCATCCTTGTGGGCCCATTGGATTGCTCCAGACAGCAAGTTCCGGGATGTACATAGCCGATTCAAATTGGAAATGAACCATGTTTCGGATATCAGCGTTTGTCTCAATTTACAAAATTCAGTTCAACCAGATTCACTATATGGCTTTGAGTTATCATGAATTCTATTTGACAGCCAGTTTGTGCGGTGAAGAATTCTCTTTTCTTAATTTGTCTATCACTGATACTTTAATTCTATAGGTAGTTGGTCTAGTATTGCCAATGCTGAGGGACGCAAACGAAGAAATTGTCGTCGCAGCCTTAAAGCTGTGCCTGGATTCGAGGCAGCTGGATTCGCAAAACGTCCATTGCGATCACGACGGGGACAAATTTTGTCCGGGCCTGCTTTCCCTTCTGTGCGAGCGAGAGGATACCGAGGGCTTTACAAATGTTTTGGCACTCATTTACCACCAGCTTCATAGTAAATTTACTGGTGTGTCGCAGTTATCACGCAAATGCCTTAACGAGACTCGGCGTATACTAGGTAATCTGACCCGTGCAACTCGTTATGCACTCTCAAAGCAACTAACAGATCACTAAGATTTGAAATTGTTTAGTGAGGACCCGAATCCCAAATTGCAGCAACCCAGTAGAAATTTTATTTTAATTAAGGACTCAAACCAAGATTTTCAAATTTCAGATCACTGTGACTGATTTGAACTGAATTGTTCGTATTCTTCGAGATCAATGCTTTTTGGGAGCAATTGAAATGACATACCGAAAGTGAAGCGTCACTTACGCATAATTGATTTCCACATCATTCGAGGTCCTCTTAAACAGTGCATGTGATCATCAGAATGGCATCAAACATTTAACAGCCAACTTAGTAGTCGCTTTCCAAACAAAATACTCTAACTACTCACCTTAAATGAGTTGCGTGGATTTTGACGTCCTTAAGGCGGTTGCTTTCAGTCGCATTAAAACTGCTTTCCTGTGGTGCAGGTGCCGAAGCGTTGGTTAAACCCCTACTGAAAGCTATCTACTTGAGCACGTCTGACACTGTGAGCCTAGTCCACGAGCTGTGCGACATCACATCAGATCTCGACATAGGATCACCAGTGATTACACGCCACCTGATACCTGCAGCCGTTCAGATGCTACATCGGTGCCATCCAGTGACAGAGGTAGGTCGACGGCAATGCAAAGGAGCAGACGCCACCGAATATGCCGCCGTCGTCACTCTCATCAAGTGCCTCGCCAATCTGGCAGGAATAGATGCGCTTTACATCGCTGCGACCAAGGAGGGTCTTGACAGCGAAGTTTTCCACCACCTTCTGGTCCCAGTATGATTCTACTCTGTTGCCATCCACCTAGCGCAAAGTGAAGTTTAACTTCTCAATCGTTTACTTCTGCTAAAAGGTTGCTAAATCTATCATTAGTTTAGTTTTTTTCCAAGTGTGCATAATCGGCGAATCGAATCTTTATGCCTTAATAATTTTCAGGCACTAAGTGATTTCGAAATTCGCCAACTTTTGACATTAAACTTTTGATGATCTCAGCGTTACTGTGTGACATCGAAGTTCTCGTTTTGAATTTGCACCACGATTATTCGAAACTACCATTTGAAATGAAACGGATGATAATGGCACATAGGGTTTACATGAGCTGCAGTCAGAGGTGTGTGGATTAGCGAAACATTTTTGTGCAGATGATAAATCCCTAGAATTCTGTGCAACTTCAAAATGCATGTTCGTAATTTTCAAGCATTGCAATATAAATAGCGCGAGGAAGGGTTCGAAATTAATACCAGGCTCTCTGTTATACGTGGAGCCTTGAGACTTCCTGAAGGAGGAAGGATGCATGCTACTCGCACATAAGGAATTTGACCCAATGGCACGATCCAGAGGTCAGCTCACCCAACAAAGGGACAGTAGTGAGGCCAGAGTGACCCCTCCTTCTAAATAGAAAATTAAGCAATTAATGCATTACAGATAGACATTCTTGTTCCTGCCGGAAATACAAGAAGGTAGCCAGTAAGTTTATTAGCGAAGTAATTAATCACTTAACTCCTTGAAATAATGCCCAGAAGGGTTGTGAGAACACTCTCATATCTTGGAGTTTGGAAAACTATAATCTTCAATGTATGTACCGTATCACTAATACGTTGAATTTTCAGGAGAAATAAGGTCGAAAAACAACAGAGCTGCATATTTGATTGTTGTTACGACTAAAAAGAAGGTAACTAGCAGTTGGAGGTTCGCAAAAAGTACAATATGGCCAGATCCTCACGTTTCAGAATAGAAGAACTCTGTAAAATTTACAAAAGTTCAGGTTCATTGGCAAATCCTTTGAGAATTGGAAGCCGAATGTAATCGAAGTTCGCCATTCAGTAAGCATAAGCAGCATTCCTTGCATATCAACGCTATGGTGGGTCATGTCTTACTCTGAATACATGCACTTCCACCTTTGAGATAGTAAACTGTAAATCAGTAAAAAAAAAGGACCAGATTAAAAGGTAGAGTTAGTGAAGCCGTGTCAACTGTGATGACACCATCACAGTTGAAGGAAAAGATTGGTAACTA